ATATGTGTTACTGGAAAACGTGTAATTTGCGGGGTGAGACGTACCCACCACGTTTTGCCAAGGAGCGATTTTGTCCCCACCACTTTTTAGAAACACCTTTGCTGCACGGATGTACCCAATAACAATTTTATGTAGCAGAGCAGAGCATTCATATAATTCGTTTGTTAAAGAGGCGATCGGGCGCTGGAATGTGTTGTTTCTGAAAACATACTGAGTGCTCGTTGCCACCGTTATCAGTGGATGAAGCCAACAGTCAGTGTTGCTCGTGCACAGTCTTCACAGTTCAAGCCAATAATAGGTTTCTGCAGGAAAGTAATGGGACTTACCAGATCGGGGTGTTTTTAGACCATGTAACCTGATAGGCTGACGTCATAGTGACGTTAGGTTTAGGGGTGGGGTCAGGTAAAGGGGATCATGTTCATTGCATGATTTAGAAACACCCAGCAGTTAGAAAATGCCCACAAATTTAGAAACGCCCACTTTTGCTCTGCAGAAACCTCAATCTCAATCTCGTTCAAGCAGATGAGATCTGGCAATAAAATAAAATCAATGTAAAAGCAAAATCAATTCCTGTTACTTTTTTCTGCAATCATTATTGCACGTGTTTCATATTAACACCTTATTGGCAGAGGCGACTTACATTAGCTCCGCCCACCAATGTCTGGTTGGCGTAGACCAGAGCCATGGAAAGAGAGAGTTGCGTCAACGGAAGTCCATAGCGCTCGATCGTCACGTGATTCACGTAGACCTCAAATAGTTCCAGTCAAAGAATGGTATTTAATTTAATGGTCTCTGCATGTTTCTTAATTACACAGACAAAACATGTAATTTCAGATTACACTTTAAACATTTCATTGTATTGTATGGTCAATGTACCATTTATTATGTTGCTGTGTAAACATGTTACTTCAATTCTTGGTGTATCACCGTTATTCCCATTAATGGCAAACGTTTGGCACCCTGTGCTGCCATGCATTGCACCTTTTTTTTACGTGTTTTTTTTTTACAGTGTAGATGAACTTGATGAATATTGCTGCTTTGTTTAAAGAGATGATGTGGGCGTTTACATGTTCGCGCGTCTCAAGTGGATGATTACCGTATGAATAGCGCGCGCTGCGCAAGGGTGTGTCCACATTATAATGAGCTCAGACGGGAAAGGCTGGACCTCGTGTTGGTTTCATATGGAGTACTTTATCAGAGAATATGTGTTTTTGCTTTCTGTAGATATATCTCTCATGTCTGTGTGCCAAGTATTCGTTGAGTTTTCGTTCCTTTTCGTGGCACGTTTCAGAAAAAAGTTCAAGAAAACCGAGACGGCAGAAAGTGCACCCTGCTTGTTTTCTTTATTTTACAAAAGCACAATGTTTTGTTGATATTGTGAGTGTATACAAATAAAAGTAGACCTTTTACAGTTTCAAATGATGTATTACTCTTATCTGTACGATCAAAAATGATGGAACATTTTAAATTATTTTCACTTTTTTGATACAATTTTTTCACTCAATATTACATTTTGACTTTGTAGTGTTTTTTTTTTAGGTTTGATAACTTGAAAAGTAAAGTAAACTTGAAAGTAAGGTGAAAGTAAAATAATTAGCAATCTGATTACTTTTTAAATGCAGTAGTAATCAGTAATGCAATCAAATTGCAATTTTAAAGTAATAATTAGTAATTTGTAGTGGATTACCTTTTTTGAGTAACTTACCCAACACTGTAAATAGTAGTAGTCAACATAAACTCAGTGCTATGTAGTTTAGGATAATCAGTGTGATATTTGCATTGAGTACAACCCCAAGAGGAAGCTGATTTTGTACGCAGCAAGCAGAGGTCATCATTAAGGCTTTGAGGTGGCTTACCAGGCTTTTCTGCTGAAAAAAGGACTGTTTGTATAGTTTTCAGAGAAAATGTCAACAAAAGGAGGCTATTACCTAGTCTAGGTCTAACTAGTCTGCCAGCCATAAGGCATATTATGGATTCTGTTCATTCTGAGACCAGAGTGGCCTGAAAGAAGCCCTTGGCACCAGCTTTAAAACGTCTAAATCAGCCTGCACAGTTCTCAGGAATACTTGATTCTGAGTTGCCGTTACTGAAAAATAAACACCAGCATCATAAACAGGACCTTGATGTGAAGCAGAATGGCAAAAACACATTTTACATTAAGGTATATAGTTTCAGTAGGTGCTCACACTGGCGAGAACCAGCTACATTTTCATCTTATAAAGCCTAGATGAAATCAAAACTGACTTACTTACTTTTTTAATACACATTTTTGGTCTTATTAAAAACAATTAAAGGAATACCTCACCCAAAAATGTAAATTTGCACGATTCCAGTCCATCAATTAACATCTTGTGATGTGAAAAGTTGTGTGTTTGTAACAAACAAATCCATCGAGGTGTTTTAACATTATATCACCACTTACCTTCCAAATTACAAGTCAATAATCCATAATGCTTCTTCCAGTTAAAAAGTCTATCCTCTGTTATGCTTTCACATCAAAATTCACTGACATATTTGTTGAGAACTGTTTTAGACTGTTTTTCGCGTAGAAACATGCTTGATCTGTGCATATTTCTCTCCTGATTCAGACAAGACAACTTTTTCACTAAAGCAATATGGAAAGAGGACTCGTATTTCAGTCGTTATCAACAAAATTGTTCATTTTTGGGTGAACAATTCCTTTTAGTGCATGTTATTTAAATAAGTTTTTTTTAATCAAAATAACTATTGCTCTGAAAAATTTATCCCTTTTTCGTCACTGAATAGAAAACGAATTGTCACCAAAAAGCAAATAGTTTAGTTATCATTTTAGAATACTGTTGTAGATAATGCAGCTTTTCAGAAGTCTTGACAATGGTCAACACATTAACGTTAAAGGATATGCCAATTATAGCAACAACAAAAAAATAGATTTGAAAAAGCAATATTACAACATATCAAGACCTTCGGCCACCATGTCCAGGCCAAAAAACCTCCAAAAGCGAATGCCAGTGGTGTTTCAGCAGGAGAGTCTTGCTCCATTCAGTTGAAAAACAGCCACTTTTCATGATTCTATCAATACCTGATGGATAAAAACAGGTCTCTACATTTTCTTTTCATTGAATTTCCAAAGTATGCCACACTGCAGAACTAAAGTGGATTGGGAAGGCCATTTCAAGTTGACTTTCTACATCCGTAACATAGTATAGCTGAACTGAGAAGCTGGTGTTTAGCATTGGAAATGTGCAATAGTTTGGCAGTCTGTGTGTTTTTACTTTTTGACATCTCTTTCTTAATTCACTGTGCACCGTAGACCATGTCAAAACATGTTCAGAAGGTACACCGCAGTTTCCAGCAGTCATTAGGGGGAAAATATCAGGGAAATACTAAAAGGCCTTTGTGTTAGAATATCTGAATGAACATCTATTTCAGCCCTACCTTTGATTTTTATTCATTTATTTTGTTTATATGTCCTACTGCAGCTAAGCACGAAGTCAAGTTTGTTCCACTGTTAGATTCCCTGAAGGCATCAGATTAATCAGACTTCCTGACTCTCAAAGTAAGTCAATCTGTGAGTTGTTAAACCAATTTTCAGTTGTTCCTTTAGTTTGGATAGAGCATCTGCTGTAATGAAAACACTGTGTCCATAGAAGTGCTACTCAGTGGTATGGCAATTCTGTACTGTTCCGTTTATAGTATTGGGAATTATTTTTGCGTAAAGTCAGCTCTCGTGAACTACCATTAGGCCCTCTCATTTGTCCAGATTTTCCCCTACGAAAAAGAAAGGAGTGTCTGTAGACACACAAATATATGTCATATATTAAATAAAAGTAAATTGCAGTTCAATTAAGAAAAAAATTTAAAAATACAAAGATAGATAGATAGATAGATAGATAGATGATTAAACAATAGATACAATGATAGGATAGATACAACGATTGACTGATAGAGAGATAGAAACAACAACTAAACAATAGATACAGCTATTAAATGACAGAACTATAGAAACAACAATTGAACGATAAAATGATAAATACAACAACTGAACGACAGAACAATAGATACAACAATAGAGTACAATAGAATAACTATAATACTTTTTAATACTTGGTGTAGAGTTCACATAGCAAAGTGATTTAAGCCTATAACGATGGCCCACTCACTATAATTCATGCAATTTCTGCATCTAATGTTGGACTGATGTGCATTCAGATAGTGTTTGGTAGACTTCTTTTTGCATGCAAAAAATAGCATAAGCCTTATTTTATTTTGCCACAGGAGATTAATGCTGAATGTAATAGCCTCTCACATTTATCCCTGTTGGGTGAAACTATGCATACATGCTCCAGGAATACAATTATTGGCATGCTAGGCTGGTTCCTGTCAATCATGCTTTCAATAAATATATACATTGAAATTAATTTGGAAATGCCCAGTGAGAGGCCCGTTTCAAATTTGTTATTTCACATGTCTTGTCAGCTCTGCTGTGTGCATGTGACATGGGGGACTGGGGACACAGCTTGCTGGCTGCTTAACATTAAAATGATAAAAAATAAGCCATCACCTTTTTCTATTCTCAGGTCAGGTCTGTGGATTGGTTTGCTGTGCGACCAGAATGAAAAATTATACATTTACTAAATATACCATGAGATATAATAGCATTCATTGAGATGAGGTACGAGCGCTCAAAAGATGAAATGAGAGTCCCCTCTGACCATATCATTTTACAATTAACAGCAGGTGTTATGAAATGACGAAGAATATCAGTTGTGCACCATGTGCAACATTAACAGTCAGTTTATGCGCTACACCATAATGAATGGATTTTATCAGCAAGGAGCAGACTGCATTTTCAAATTTGCACACCTTGTAGCTGATTGATTGCCAATAAAGGTGAATGCACAACAGGTCAATTAGAACAGAGTTTATAAATACTTTTTTTTTTTTAAATGAAAAAAATTCATTTAAAAAATGAATTTTCTTATTTACTTGTTTATTTTAATTGTCTCTGGACCGGTTTGTGTCATATCGTCTCCGATTGTGTTTAACATGTTATCAAGGCAAATACAACACTGTAGGTTAGAAAATGAAGCATTCCAACTTTTGAGTTAGCCGAAAGCTAACATTGCAGCGGTGGAACTTGTGTTTGATAGGCAGCACGTTATCATAACCCAACCAGTAAACGCCACTCTGATTGGCTGAGGCACCACGTCATCATAACCCAAGCAGTAAACGCCACTCTGATTGGCCGAGGCAACAAGCATTCGGCGCGTACTGCTGAAGCAAGTGGCTGCTCGGCTCTGTTCAGCTTCCATCAAATCAAAGCGATCCAAAATCATCGTTTTCTACTCAGTTGAAGGTAAGTTCGGTCCGCTTAGTTAATTTTATGTATTTATAGTGTTAGCTGTTTTAATTAGCTTTGTTGTCTTAACTAAACCTGCTGTGGCTAAGTTACAATTAGCATTGCATCTCTCAGTGATTAACAACACGACTGTATTCCCTTCCAAGATATACAATATAATCATATAACGTGTAGTTCGATCTGTTTCTTTGAGAGTTCAAAGCACAACGCGACTGTATTCGCGTCCATCATAAAACGTTACACGTTACTATAATCATGCATTATGTAGTTTCAAAACGAGTTATAATGTGTTTTAAAAATGACTGAATCTAATATTTGACATATTCTGCAATTCCGTCTAAATACATTTTCCAGTTCGCACACATCTATTTTTAGTCGCAAATGCGAGTGAAATGCTCGCAATGTCGAGCCCTGATTGCATCTCTCAGTCATTAACAACACGACTGTATTCCCTTCCAAGATATACAATATAATCATATAACGTGTAGTTTGATCGGTTTCTTTGAGAGTTCAAAGCACAATGCGACTGTTACCGCGTCCATCATAAAACGTTACACACTATAATCATGCATTATGTAGTTTCGAAACGAGTTATAATGTGTTTTAAAAATGACTGAATATAATATTTGCCATATTCTGCAATTCCGTCTGCGTTTTCCGCATCACGGAAACCCTAATTCTGTTTGTTAACTGCAGGTGTTAATTCATCACTTCTTTATCTCAATTAACTTGAACACTGAATAGTGTTACTTGTTTAACATATAATATATATAATCCACACCATCTCAATACTATTGAGTATTGTAAAGCTTTAGTTGGGTGTTTCTTTTGTCTTTCTGTCAGGTGGCGTGCGGTGTCTCCTTCATTTTGGACGTGGAGTGAGGTGTCCTGCCCTTTAGGAGCACCTAAACAAGGTCTTATGACCTCATCCTCCTTTTCTTTGGACTTGCCCCAGTCAAATAAACAGTACAAGTAAACTTAATTTGGGCTCACATCTGTGTTTACAGATGGCTTTAAGGATGAGAGAATGGCGAAAACGCCAAAGAGAACTCAATCAACTTCTATGTTATTCTGACAGCGATGATGAACATTGTGGCATTAAAAAAAAGTGTGAACGTGCGCCTGGGACTCTGAATAGTTGTAGCAGTGACAATGTGCCTGGGACCCCACATAGTTTCATCAGTGACAATGTTCCTGGGAAATCAGATAGTTTTGACTTTGACACTGATGTGGACTATTGGTCTACTGACTCAGAAAAGGAACCAAATGATGAAGCTGAGGTGACCAGCAGCTTTGAAGATGACCTAAGACAGTGGGCCTTAGACCACAAATTGACACACAGAGCGCTTAATGGATTATTGTCCATATTAAGAAAGCAAGGGCACCTATTGCCTGTGGATTGCCGGACATTCCTTGCTACACCACAGTGTAACACAACAGAGCCTAAATGTGGCGGGCAGTACAGCTTACAAATATGGGGACTTGGTGTATGACTGCAGATTGCCTTTGCATATTTCTAATCATTTGTCTTTTTCTACTTGTGCAGATGCAGTCATGAAATTTGATGACACAGCCACAGAGGATTTCATAAGGATGAGTCAAGAGTCAAGAGGCATTTATTTATAATTTGCATAGTTAACACTGGGGAAAACTGCGCACGCACAGCCATTGAAGAGGAGTGGACCAGCATTCCACAGGCCACAATCAACAACCTGATCAACTCCATGCGAAGGAGATGTGTTGCACTGCGTGAGGCAAATGGTGGTCACACCAGATACTGACTGGTTTTCGGACCCCCCCCCCTATAAACACTGGACTACACTAAAATTATGTTTTCATTTAAAACCAGAAAAAAAATATTTATAATAATCAAATCAAAGTCAAAAGATAAATATATATTTAATATTCTGCACTATTTCTAAAATAAACAATATTATGAGACTGATAATGTGAACTCCTTTATTCTAAGGGTCAGATGTGTTTGCTTTCATTGAAGCACAAGAAGAATTCTCAAATCATGGATTAAAACATTCTCACTAGTGGTCTCAGACTATCAAACCATGTGCACTGTCCAGCCCAATACAGCCCTGAAATATGATACAAAGTCATTAACATAAAGACCTCCACTTCCTCTCCCCCCACTCACTGTCTGCACAATTTTTTTTAACTACTCCAGCCAGTCCTGGATGTGCTGGCAGAAAATTAATTTGCCAACCGTGTAAGCCTTTTCTTTGTATTTATAGAAGCAACCTCCGGGCCGTCTCTGGTTTTAGGTGATTTCATTAGTCCTTTGTGCGTCTTAGGTTGGCAGCCTGTAGGGGGAAACCAATTACTTATTTTTGGACAGCACCTGGATAGCAGGATGTGGGATGACAGAAGGCAGAGGAAGCAAAGAAGATGAGTGATTCAGGCAGTCTGCTGAAATAGGAGCGACCACATAGATGATCAGAAGCACAGTTTCATATAACTGTTCACACTCACCGTTTCTGCATATTTGACTTCAAGCTATTAGCAGCATATCAACAATTTCCAAATTAAAGCAGTGAGACTGAGTGAATAATTTTAATTCCATAATAAGGGATTTTCCTGCTATTTAAGCAATTCAGGTTTGAAGTATCAAATGCAACATGCTTTTGCGCAAGTTTTTGCTTTGACCATCAGCCAGGACACGATTAGTAGAGTGTTTCTAGTTAAGCCTTAGCCAAATCCGATTCATGCACACATGGCTATCTTAGGTCATTTGTTTAAATAAAGCTTATGGGTAAGCTAGGCTAGTTAAATGAGCTCTAGGCTATCCCAGTCTGGGTACGCATTACGAGGCAGGACACAAGCAATTTAAGCCTTTCGGTCAAGCTGTCCAGGTACGTATAATGAGTCAGTCCACTAGCGTTGCGCTATTCAGTCAAGTTGGCCCAGAAACACAGAGATAGCACACACGCACGATTAGCACGGCTCTGTATACCAGAGGCAAGTCTTGGCAGGTAGACTGTGACGTTGTCACAACAGCAACAAGTTATACAGGCTCACATGATTTTGTTTTTGTTTTTTGTTTTTTGTTTTTTTCTTTGAGTTGTAAAACCGATTTTCACATTTAATTCAATGTGTTACTTGATGTTTCTTTGTAATTGTTGTGAAATTTACTAGCAATTTCTGAGTGAAAATTAACCCAGTCTTTTTCTGTGTAAAATAAAATAAAATAAAATAAATGTGGGCAAAATGTCCACCTGGGGGCTTTTCAATTTTTTTTCTATTTCAAAAATTCATTAATAAATTGGTGTTGAGGGTCTAATGTACCCTACTATTTAAAAGTGTTTCAAAATTTTTCACTTTTTTTTTCAAAAAGTACAAAAATATATATATATATTTTTTTTTTTAAGAAATTAATACTTTTATATAGTGATGATGCATTAAATAAATCAAAAGTCACAGTAAAGACTTTTACATTGTTACAAAAAAATTTTTTCAAATAAATGGGCTCTTTTGAACTTTTTATTCATCAAATAATCCTAAACAACTGTTTCTAAAATTATACAATTTAAAATATATTACAACAGAAAATAGTTCTATTAATTTTAATAACATTTCACAATATAACTTTTAAACTATATTTTTGATCATCAAATGCAGCCTTGGAGAAAATAAGAGACCTTTTTTTATTTTTACTGACCCCAAACTTTTGAACAGTTGTCAGATCTATAGTTTAACAGATGCTGTTTATCTGTGTCTATGTTATACTCTTATACCTCTTGCCTTAGGGAAAAACAACACTTGGATTCAATACAAATGGCACCTCTCATATCAGATACTGTCAAAACCTTGTCACAATGTTAGCAGTTTTGAGCAGTTGCTGTCCTTCCCAAACTATTTATTTACTTGTCATGGCACTGCCAGACTGTGCCAGCTCTGTACAATTCATACTGTAGGTTTGTGCCATTAAAAATCCAAAAACACCATGCAAATCAATGTATTCAAGTCAGCCTTTTATGAAAACCACAAGTGATTGATGTGCTGATTCCTGAAATCAGTCCTCTAATCAAAAGAGCACTTCTGATATTTTAAAAGCCTTGTAAGAGGAATCCAAATTGCCAAAGTACGCCTACAATCACACCTGCAAGAGCAGAGAAAAGTCAGTGGGTGCATCGGTTTTCACATTTCCTTTGAGGATGAAACATCAGTCTTTCAGCAATATGAAAAGCCAGGATTGATTGATTTGGTGACATTTCTGAAGATGAGCTAAGAGCCTCTCAGACAGATTTTCTCTCTTTGTCTTGTCTGTGTTTAATAGAAGAATTGGTCTTGACAGAGAGTTCAGATGCATTTAAGTTCAAAGGTATAGCTCACCCAAAAATGAAACTCTTTCATCATATACATTCATTTTAGTTTTTGGAGGAAAACGGTAAAACAAAAAAGTTTAGCGGAACAATGACACTCTCTCTCTTACAAAAAAGGAAAAGCACAACTGAAACCGAAAATCATCTCCTCTGCTACAACAGAGAGGAAGATTTTCAGTGAGTCATGAATTAAATTTCAGTGTTTTCATCACACAACGTTATTGCATGACGTCTGAAGACTTTGAAAATGCTGCACTTTTCAAAAGGTACACTTTTATACCTTTTAGGTACTAATATGTACAGTTTAGGTACTAATATGCACCTTTAAGGTACCAATAAGGTGTATCTCATATCTCACTACAGCTATAAATGATAAATTCACTTTTGCTGGAAAACAATTATTTACAATGCTTACAATATCTATCTGTAATAGGTTTGTAATTCATACATTCAAGCCAAACATGACGCTTCATTTTTAATGCTGAAGGAGAGTGAGGTAAGATTTAAGTATATTTGACAACTGTTTTATGATAAAAATGTCAAATGACCAACATTAATATCCAGTGATGCAAACTAATCGACTTTTTCACCGTTTAGACTATAATTTTCGAGATTCATGTAATTCATAACTGACGAGACAAGAAATATTAAAGGAGCCGTTTTCAACATGTAAGGAATACAATTAAGAGTGAATGTGTCCATATTTTTAAATAGTTCAAATGGATTACTTTACAATAAACTGTGGTTCTTTTGATGGTCTTCTTCACCTTTCTTTATTTTCTTAAATATTTGAATTATTTAATTCCTTTAAAAGTAATTAAATAATTTAGACCCCCAATATTTGACAATGTTACAGCTTTGGGATAGAGGGAGACATTTTCATTTCTGTCTAAGAACTGTAATGTTAAAGAAATGCTGCACTGTATTTTTTTAAATTACAGATGATTACAATAGATGACGGAACAAAGAAACAATGACAGTGGGCTGTGCGGCTGCATCATGCACATGTATTCCCACACACCAATTTTGCACTTAAAACCATTTTCTACTTCCAATGTCAAGCACTCCACGTCAAAAAAGTGTTTGTTTACGTGCGTCATGCATGTATGTTCGTGATGGGCTCATCAGAAACGTCAGTGCTCATGTTTTAACTGCGGTACCCCTCCACAACAGTGGGCTTACTGTTTAATGAGAGCACCTTTGGGCCATGGTGAAAGGCCAAGAGCCTTTGTAATTATTGTGATTACAGTGAGTGGCAATCAGGGGCCAACCTGTCATCTCTCTTCACCTCCACACTGCCACCACTGCAGGGGGGATCTCCAGGACACACGCACGAGCATGCTTTTGTGCTCCGCGAGCGTGTGTGTGTAGGTGAAGTGTGTGAACAGTTTGTGGCGGCCACAAACAGCATCTGTCAATTTGTACGAGTTGTCAAGATGACAACTTCATGCACACACATACACACACCCAATATTAATTAGCTCATTCTTCATGTCATACAGTACTATCTGTGTCACATCCATTTCTATCAGCTCAAATGGCTTGACAGGCAGCAGGATTTACCTATAATAGCCATTGGAGAGCTAGCTTATTAGTGAGTTTCATTAGTGGTGCTTGCTAATGCAAACATCACTATTAATATTGCTCATACAGTACATGCAGTGAGGGATTCGAGAGAAAAAAAAACACCTCTAAGAATTAAAGTAATGCAATAAAGTAATAGTGGGGTACAAATCAAATCATGGGGCTTACTGAGAAGATGTGTGTTATTACTCTAAGAAATCTAAGAAATATCTAGCCAGCAGAGTATGATAGAAATTCAGAGTAGCTCTTTTTGTCGCAAATGACTTTTTGTCCAAAAAATCTTCAAGTATGTGGTGTCATTACAATTATTTTAATGCTCCCAATCACGTCAGAGGCGGCATGATCCCAAATCGTATACATCAAAGAAAGGTCACCCATATTCTTTTTTGTCTCCTTTGTCCTCCTCCAAGAGAACCAGCTGACGATATTGATCGTGCTCCATTTGTTTTTCCTCGGAAGACACATTTGATCACACGAGTCTCCTTGAAATCTCGTCTCACTGTGAAAATGATACTACATTCG